GGGGTGTTGAATAATTCCACTTGCACACATAACTCAATATATATTTAGTTATCACACATAATAAGCATAAAAAGAACAAACTCAAATAAGCATACGCCTGAGCACGACTACATGGCGCATACTAAGATGGCGCTGCGGTGGGACGAGCAAACCCCCTTCAAGATTCTAATTTCCAGCTCATCCTAATTTAATTTCATTGAAAATTCATTGTCTAAGATTGAAAGTATTTGTTAGTTACGATTTCAATTTTATCAAGAGGATCTAAGTCCTAAGTACGACTACATGGCGCATACTAAGATGGCGCTGCGGTGGGACGAGCAAACCCCCTTCAAGATTCTAATTTCCAGCTCATCCTAATTTAATTTCATTGAAAATTCATTGTCTAAGATTGAAAGTATTTGTTAGTTAAGATTTCAATTTTATCAAGAGGATCTAAGTCCTAAGTACGACTACATGGCGCATACTAAGATGGCGCTGCGGTGGGACGAGCAAACCCCCTTCAAGATTCTAATTTCCAGCTCATCCTAATTTAATTTCATTGAAAATTCATTGTCTAAGATTGAAAGTATTTGTTAGTTAAGATTTCAATTTTATCAAGAGGATCTAAGTCCTAAGCACGACTACATGGCGCATACTAAGATGGCGCTGCGGTGGGACGAGAAAACCCCCTTCAAGATTCTAATTTCCAGCTCATCCTAATTTAATTTCATTGAAAATTCATTGTCTAAGATTGAAAGTATTTGTTAGTTAAGATTACAATTTTATCAAGAGGATCTAAGTCCTAAGTACGACTACATGGCGCATACTAAGATGGCGCTGCGGTGGGACGAGCAAACCCCCTTCAAGATTCTAATTTCCAGCTCATCCTAATTGTAATTTCATTGAAAATTCATTGTCTAAGATTGAAAGTATTTGTTAGTTAAGATTTCAATTTTATCAAGAGGATCTAAGTCCTAAGCACGACTACATGGCGCATACTAAGATGGCGCTGCGGTGGGACGAGCAAACCCCCTTCAAGATTCTAATTTCCAGCTCATCCTAATTGTAATTTCATTGAAAATTCATTGTCTAAGATTGAAAGTATTTGTTAGTTAAGATTTCAATTTTATCAAGAGGATCTAAGTCCTAAGCACGACTACATGGCGCATACTAAGATGGCGCTGCGGTGGGACGAGCAAACCCCCTTCAAGATTCTAATTTCCAGCTCATCCTAATTTAATTTCATTGAAAATTCATTGTCTAAGATTGAAAGTATTTGTTAGTTACGATTTCAATTTTATCAAGAGGATCTAAGTCCTAAGTACGACTACATGGCGCATACTAAGATGGCGCTGAGTTGGGACGAGCAAACCCCCTTCAAGATTCTAATTTCCAGCTCATCCTAATTTAATTTCATTGAAAATTCACTGTCTAAGATTGAAAGTATTTGTTAGTTAAGATTTCAATTTTATCAAGAGGATCTAAGTCCTAAGCACGACTACATGGCGCATACTAAGATGGCGCTGCGGTGGGACGAGCAAACCCCCTTCAAGATTCTAATTTCCAGCTCATCCTAATTGTAATTTCATTGAAAATTCATTGTCTAAGATTGAAAGTATTTGTTAGTTAAGATTTCAATTTTATCAAGAGGATCTAAGTCCTCAGCACGACTACATGGCGCATACTAAGATGGCGCTGCGGTGGGACGAGCAAACCCCCTTCAATTTATTTATTTACTTCAATTAACAGAAATATTTCGCATGTGAACGAAAAAATCGATGAAATATCAATTTTTTACTTTAATTTGCTGTTAGAAAATGGTATCGAGCGAAGCATGAACACCAATATACATGAATCTGTAATTGCTTCTGTGATGACTAATTAAAGGCAACGATACATTTACCAAAAATAATTCACACTATATATGCGTGGTTTTTTCCATTATTTATTTATAAACTTTCATTTGTTCCTTTTATTTCGACCTTAAAATGTTTCAAATATCTTGAAGTTTTCACTAAAATTGCAATTTAAACTGCAAACTGTACTTATTAATCATGACGAATATACTCGTCATGGCAAAAAATTTTATATTGTCCACTATATACTGACATTATTAATCTTTCATTCAATTTCTTCCTCTCAATTGTTTGAAAATCTTTCAATTATTTTGAGCAACTCAACTTATATATATATAATTCTTTTTAAAATAATAAAAACATGATCACCGAGTCCTAAAAAATATTTTTCCTGTCAAGCACATGTTTACAAAGTTTTTCTCGACTAAAATACTCTGTTTTCTTGTATAATAGAAAAGTAAAAAAGTGCAACGAGTGCTGATGCTCCAAAATAAGGGCAAATGTAAAGGTGACTGGATGTTTCAACCATTCTGAACAAAAATCATACTTTCTAGCACCATAAATAATAAACTAAAATCGAATGTTGTATACGCCCGTGATTGGTCAGTGTTTTTCGTTAATAATTCAAAAACGAAGCTCCGTCCGACATTTTTGCAAAGGAAATTGTTGTTCAGAATCGTCTCAGCTACCCCCCATTCCCGGTTCTTACACTATTTACGGGGCACCCTGTATTCTCGACGTCTTCAAAGGTCAAAACACCAAAGCCAACGCCAAATAGTTCAAAGAAGCGACACCGGGGGATAAATCTTCGAATGTTCTCGCGAATTTGCTAATAAATTCCATGTTCCAAAAAAAGCACGAGATTCGAGAAAACGCTGTTTACGAGACTGTCGTCGTGAATTCCAACAGTGAGATGATCGCCGTGTAGCGTCACGGATTAAAAAATAGAAACGGGCCCAAGAGATGTTTCGCCGTCTGGGAATCCGGACAAAGGAGTCTCTGCTGAGAAATTGCAACGGGGTCGTCAACCACGTCCCGTTCGAGTCGTAATAATTAAAATCCATCCATGATTGGACGCAGAAACAACTGATGCATTCCCAATCGCGATACAAATGGCCACGCGCGAACAAACATCGAATAAAAATCATCGAAATGCTTCTGAATTCTTTTAAAAACATTCACTCGATAGGCTGATTGTGCAACAATCTCGTGAGACTGATACTTAAAATCTCTGGAGCTTCCTGACCGGGAAAATTAAAATTACAAAATTTTCTAAACGAATAATAACAGTAGAATGTTTGCTAATGTGTGATAAACAAAAAAGAAACGTCAGAATAAAAATGGCGTATTAAATTAAAGTTTCTAGGTTCGATCAAGGATCTCTAATGTCTTGGTTGTTGATTATAGTATTTAGATCCTCTTCAGTGATAATTAGACTGCGGATTTAATTTTCAAAAAACTACAGAATTCAGTTAATATGCAAAAATATAAGAAATACTTAAAATAAGATACGAATTATTATATTTAAGGGTTGAAACAACCCTCTACAAAGCTCCAATTTCATTAATTTTATTAATAAAAATATGAACTTGCATGAAGACCCGCAGTCTAGTGATAATTTAAAATGTAATTCATGTAATTATTATTCAAAAATATATTTCTTTAATTTTTATTATCTATGTGGAGATAAGTGTTATATAGTTTTTTTTGTGTATAAAGAAATGATAATTTGGCGCTCAAAATGATATAAAAAACAAATAAATGTTCATCTCTAACAATGAAAAGATGAGAATTTGTTGAATAGAAAAAAGTGAATTAAAAATGCTATGAAAAACGTTCATTTATGAAGCTAAAGGTAATATAATTTGTTAAATATACTATTTCTCTTTTCTATTAGTAATTATGCTATAGAAATTTATTATGAAATTAAATAAAATACCTGAGTACCTGAGTACTATAAAAAATAGTGAAAAAATTGCATATTTCATTAAAATAACGATTTTTTTCTTTCATGAAGTTAAAATATAAATTATAACAAAAGATGAATACTAATATTCAAAATTGAAATAACAAATTTCAGTTTCAGGTCTTCTTTCATGAAGTTAAAATATAAATTATAACAAAGATGAATAGTAATATTCAAAATTAAAATTACAAGTTTCAGTTTCACGTTATCCCTTCCCCAAAATCATTTTGAGAAAAACACACTTAATTTTTCAACCAGTTTCGTATAAAATCTTCTTTCATGAAGTTGAAATATAAATTATAACAAAGATGAATACAAATATTTAAAATTAAAATAACAAATAACAAATAACATTTTGAGAAAAACACACTTAATTTTTCAGCCAGTTTCGTATAAAATACGCTTGAGAAAAGAGATGACTCAAGTACCGTCGAAAAGGAAAAATAGTCGTAAAAACTCGAATGCTAAATAAAGTGGTGAAAAAACGAAGGAACGAAAAAAGACGATATACGTGCATACTTGTTTTTTACAGAGGAGATAAAGAGTTTCGCATATTATTTACGGGGCGGTGTTGTTTATAAAAACGAGAAGTTTTCTTCGGTCGACTGATAAAACGGATAACATTATCGGTAGATCGAGCGTAGTAAATAAGAACATTTGAATGGAGTATCATTCACGAAGCAGAAGCTATTTTTTGTCCAATTTAATGTATCCGGATTATCGGTTTCTACAGTTCGTCGACAGCTTTCGATAATAAACTTTAATCGTTCGCGAAACGAGCACCACTTTTCTGTTGAAATCGTTACATACAAATTAATTCGATCTTCTGCGGTTCGTAACGTTATCCGGATTCGTAATGGTTGTTTCGTAATGATCTTTATGTAACTACTTTGTAATCCCCGGCGAGAATTTAGTATCTCGAGCAGCGCGCGACAAAGAAACCGCAAGAGTTTAAAAAAACTCTTCAAATCGCATCGAAGTGCAAACCGAGGTCCAAACGATCGCACTTTTTCCCCCCCGAAATGTGAGTAATATCTACACCGGTTCGATGTTCAAACAGTCGAGCGTCAACATCGATTAGCGGTAATAATACTTCAAACAAGAACTCTCGAATGCACGGAGCTGCGCGCGCCGGTTCGCGCATGCGCGTCGAATCGCAGTGACACGCGATAAGAAAACGAGCGCGAATGTTCACTCACCGAGATGCACCGCGAGGTTGTACCTCTCGAGGGCCTGGGCCAGGTGGCCCTCCTTCATCAGAATGTCACCCTCGTGTCTCGCCCGGCTGGCTTCCGCCTCGCGGGGCCACCACTTTTCCACGAGCCTCTGCACCAACACGTTGGTCTCACCCACAGCGACGATCTTTTGTCCGCACACGCGACAGCATTTCCCCGGCTCCACGCAATTCTTGCAGTACGTGTGACCGCAGTTGGTGGTCACCGGCAGGCAGAGAGTACCCTCGCAGAAAGGACACGCGAAGGACGTCTCGATTTTTCTCCTGGACCCGGTGGCGGTCGCGGCGACACCGACCAGCTCCTCCAGGAGCGCGTTGGCCAGGTGTTTCAGTCTCTCGACCGGCACTGGTCTGGCCGCCAAACATCGCGAGTAAACACCTATGGACTCGCTGATACGTCCACACTTGGCCAACGAGTCCCCGTAGCCGACCAACACCTCGAAACTAGCGGTCTGGTGCTTCAAGCTTCGCTCGTACATCTCGACAGCGAGCCGGTAATTGCGCGAGGCGAACGCTTCCTTCGCTAACTCGGTCATCTTTGCTGATAAACAGTCCTCACAGCGCCGCGCAGCAGAATCCGCCTGTTGACTTATTCGTGGCACTCCGGGCGACGCGCATCTTACCTCATCGATTCCTGGTACACTTTTAAAACCACTTCACTGCGTAAACTTCCGCTCGACGAGTCGATTCGCGGTTGCACGTTTGACAGTTGGCCGGCCACGCGGTTGCGGAATCGACGGGCGAACAGGCGGCACTAGAGCTGCCTGCGTACAGCACGACGGCGCACTGACGACTGCCGTCTCGATTGTCACCGCTCGCTCGAGCCACTGTCAGAAACGTAAACCAACCGGGCAGCGAGAGGGGTGGCGAACGGAGGCGGTGGTGGTGGGCGACGGCAGCGCCGCGCGGCGGCACACACACCTTCGACTTTTCGCTGCGTCTACCTCCGCCAACTGTTTCACGATACCGCGGACCAGTGTCAACGGTTTCACGTTCTACGTGGGCGCTCACGACGGTGTCAAGCCACCACCCCTCCACTGCGGAGCATCAACCGTGGCGTCATCCTGTCACGAAGTAGATTCACCCTCGATCCACATCATCGAGATACTCCTTTCCCCTCGAATTATCTCAACCAACTCTAAAAATTCTGGGCGAATTCATTGTTTGTTGACGTTCCCTTTATCTCGTCCAAGGATCAACGTCGTCCGATGTTCATCCATCGTCGAAACGTCGAACGGAGAGTCTCCATCGCGTATTTTTGTTATTCCGTGGCGAACGGTACAAGTCCCGTTCATCTCGCGGATGACGTACTCCCCGAGTACTCCCCGATCAACAGGCTCGAGTCGAGGGTATTGAGCGGCGTCCTGACGCTAGCAGCTGAGCTGCCCTTGAAACAAAAACACCGTAAACTTTCACGGGAAATCACAGGTGAACAGGTTGGCCCGTAACAAACGCGACTCGATCAGCCGGTAGAGGATCTGGAGGACCAGGACACTTGTTGTTAGCTCTGTTATCTCTGTCACCAGGAGTGGAATCGTCGAAAGTACGGGGTTTCCCCTTCAGAAACGCACTGGTACGAGGCAGCTTACATAAAGAACGGTCGTGTCGGTGCACAAAACGTGGCGGGAGCGAGCCGGATTTCGATTGGATCAATTATTCCACGAGCGAGCCTCGGGCTCTCCGGGCTCTAGGAATCTTACTGAGCATGAGCAGTGACGTTGCTTGCTCTACGTCGCGGTATTCCACTTTACCCGGCACCGAGATCAGACCTGCGTGCGCTGCTCCCCCTCGTTGTGTACCGTGCGTGAGCGTGCATCACCACTGAGTACGCAGACGCACTCTAAACACACTTGTGTACCCAGCCACGTTTGCGCGTTGCAGCCAATGCACTCTCGCGTGCCTTACGGACCGAGACGATGCACCACGCGCCCCGGTGACCGTGTACAAGCGATATCAAGGGGTCATTCTACTTTCGAGGCTGTTCACACTCACTGGACACCTAAAAAATATCCAAATATAGTCACGACTGGTGTTTAACCCTCTGTGGTTCAATGTCCAGGTGGATGTGATGTCGTATTTCGGTGCAGAAACTTCTCCATGACCTCGACAACTATAGCAGCCTTGAACTATGGAACACGGTGGATCCGAGGGTACAGTTCGAAACTTTAGTAACCTCTCCTTGTCTTCTGATGCCTTATTAGAGTATCTAGGCAAATCTCAACTGAGGAAATTCTTGACATCCTTACAATTTTTCAACATAGTCCTCGTTGGAGGTCTGTACACTTGGTCCAACGTTTCTCTGGGTTTTCTATTCCCACCCTGGAAGTGACTTTCTTCGAGATCAGCAAGATTCTACTTTGGAGGCTGTTCACACTTACTGGAGACCTCAAAAATATCCAAATATCGTCACGACTGGTGTTTAACCCTCTGTGGTTCAATGTCCAGGTGGATGTGATGTCGTATTTCGGTGCAGAAACTTCTCCATGACCTCGACAACTATAGCAGCCTTGAACTATGGAACACGGTGGATCCGAGGGTACAGTTCGAAACTTTAGTAACCTCTCCTTGTCTTCTGATGCCTTATTAGAGTATCTAGGCAAATCTCAACTGAGGAAATTCTTGACATCCTTACAATTTTTCAACATAGTCCTCGTTGGAGGTCTGTACACTTGGTCCAACGTTTCTCTGGGTTTTCTATTCTCACCCTGGAAGTGACTTTCTTCGAAATCAGCAAGATTCTACTTAGGAGGCTGTTCACACTTACTGGACACCTAAAAAATATCCAAATATAGTCACGACTGGTGTTTAATCCTCTGTGGTTGCACGTCCAGGTGGATGTGATGTCGTATTTCGGTGCAGAAACTTCTCCATGACCTCGACAACTATAGCAGCCTTGAACTATGGAACACGGTGGATCCGAGGGTACAGTTAATTTCTTTGAACGAAAATGTGCATTCTCAGTGCAGACTACACAATGATGCAAAGATTAACAGTCCATAGATGGAGTTAGGTTTCGCAATCATTTCGGTACAAATATTAACACACTGTCTGCCTCTTTCCGTGCTTTTTGGTTTTTCGAATGCAACGTATGATACATTTTTAACTTCAAGGCTTTGTGAAAAATTCTGCAATGGATATCCAAACAATATCATACTTTTATTGTTAAATATGTGGGATCGGGAAGATAATGACTCCGCTCTGTTCCGTTCCGCACAATTTTATTGTTGCTGTCGTACAACGACGTGACTCGTGGTGCGGGTTACGCTCGACTCTCTGGTACGATCATCGCCACCGTACCAAGAGGCCTTCAAAAACAAAAGACGGTCAGAGACGACGACAACGGCTTTTCGGCTCACGCGGCTCTGGTCGTCTCGTGTGCAACCATCGTCTCGTGTGCAACCATCGTCTCGTGTGCAACCATACATTGTAGCGGCTTCGAACGGCTAAGGCGTATGTGGTGCCTTGGCCGCCACACTACCCCCCTGCCAGTAATTGGCACAATTACGAAAAATTGACCGACTACATTACCACTACCATTTACTCTATTATATAAAATACGTTATCCTAACTAAGATTTACATTACAGTATTTGAACAGAGTTGAAAAAAAAAGGAATTTACATGGAGTTTAATATATAATACGTAATACCTAAAAATACATGAAAGTACATAAAAGTGATGGAAAAAAATAAATGGTATATGATACTTATTATAATAATGCGCAAGCCTTAAGTACTACCGCGTAATTTGAAATCGCTCGGGAAAACGTACGCGTCTACCTGAACGCGTGACACGTTGCTGTATAACCGGCGCATTGTCAGGTACGTTTGTTTGTGTGACCGGCTGATTTTCTATGCTCACGGGATCCGGTCTGTTTTCTGCTAGCATATAAGCAGGCTTTAGCCTTTCAATTGATATATTTATTTCCTTACCTCTAATGTTTATTGTAAATGTTTTTTCGCCTCGGCGCACTACGGCGTATGGACCTTCATAAGCGGGTTGTAAAATAGTTTTGGCTGAATCTGTTCGGATGAAAACATGTGTTGAACTGCTAAGATCTTTGAAAACGAATGTACGATTAACGGAATGGCGTGATGCATTAGAGGGACTCAATTTAGAAAAATGGTTGCGTAGTCTATTAGTAAAATCGGAAGCATTTTCTGTGCCTTCCGCTGAATGCGAAGACAAGAACTCTCCCGGTAATCTTAATGGCTCGCCATAAACTAATTCCGCTGAGGTAGCGCCGAGGTCTTCTTTCCAGGCGGAACGAATACCGAGTAGAACCGTCGGAAGTATTTCTGTCCACTTGTCGGATCCGTGGCACCTTATAGCCGACTTGATCTGTCGGTGAAAACGCTCTACCATCCCATTGGCCGCTGGGTGATACGCCGTTGTGCGAAGGCGTGTGGATCCAATTAAATTGTTCAGCGCAAAAAATAATTTGGATTCGAACTGCCTACCCTGATCGGTGGTAATCCGTACGGGAGCACCAAACCGCGCTACCCAACCGTCATAAAAGGTTCGAGCTACGGTTTGGGCCTCCTGATCGACCATGGGGAAGGCTTCCGGCCACCGCGTATATCTGTCTACACAGGTCAGACAATACCTGAAACCTTCGGACACCGGTAAAATTACTATGTCTAAATGAATGTGTTCGAATCGCGCAGAAGGTTTAACAAATGTAGCCAATGGTGCAGTCACATGACGGGAAATTTTTGATCTTTGGCACGGTATACAGCAACGTGTCCACGTGCGAACATCTCTTTTAATCGACGGCCAAACATAACGTTGCGTTATGAGCTTGATCGTCGCGTTAATACCTGGATGTGATAATACATGTAACATATTAAAAACTGCGCGTCGGAAAGGAGGGGTGACATAAGGTCTTACATTCTTAGTCGAAATATCGCAAAAAATTTCGGAAGACGTGCCAGGCAAGGAGACTTTGCGTAATCGCAGGCTAGATTCGCTATTCAACAACCGCTGCAACTCCTCATCCTGGGCTTGCGATTTTGCCAATTCTTCGAAATTAATCGAGTGGTTAACCGTTTCCACTCTGGACAGTGCATCGGCAACGACGTTGTCTTTACCGGAAATATGTTGAATATCTGTAGAGAATTGCGCAATGTAATCTAGGTATCGGAATTGTCGAGGAGAGCATTTATCTAATTTCTGTTTGAAAGCGAAAGTTATGGGTTTATGGTCTGTAAAAATCGTGAAATGTCTGCCTTCGAGCATATGTTTGAAATGTTTTATTGCTAAATAGATAGAAAGTAGTTCCCGGTCGTAAGCTGAATACTTCTTTTCGGCAGATCCTAATTTCTTAGAAAAGAATGCTAATGGTTGTCGTTCGTTGCCGACGCACTGATGTAAAACAGCTCCTACGGTGTAATCAGAAGCATCGCAGGTAACCGACAATGGAGCGTTGACCGCAGGATGAGAAAGCAGGGTTGCGTTTGCTAAACTATTTTTGGTATTTTCGAAAGCCTGACGCGCTTCCGAAGTCCAGGCTATCGAGGTCTTGCCCTTTAAATTGCCGGCTAGAAGGTCGTTCAAGGGTGCTTGAAAGCGAGCGGCATCTGGGATAAAACGGCGGTAAAAATTAAGCATTCCCAAGTACTGCCTCAAATCCTTCGCGTTTTTCGGAAGGGGAAATGACTTTATGGCTTGTACCTTGCCGGGCAAAGGTTGAGTGCCGCTTTCATTTACCCGATAGCCTAGAAATTTAACTTCTTCCTGTCCGAACGTGCATTTATTCGGATTAACAACAATGCCATAATCTTTTAATCGTTTAAATAATAATTCTAAATGGCGCAGGTGATCGGCTTGGGATTCTGAGGCGACCAAAATGTCGTCTATATACGCGTAACAAAAATCGAAACCGCGTAAAATTTCGTCGATAAAGCGCTGAAATGTTTGCGCGGCATTTCGTAACCCGAACGACATGTACGGGAATTCAAAAAGCCCGAACGGCGTTGTAATGGCCGTTTTTCCGACGTCTTCCGACGCAACCGGAATCTGATTATAAGCTCGGACGAGATCTATTGTGGAAAATACCTTTTTGCCACTCAGTTGTTGCGCAAAATCCTCAATGTGACG